GGATCTTTGAAGCCTGCAACCGAGGTATGTGTCCTTGACAGAATCAAACCCAGGTCCCTTCAGTCTGTGGGCTGATGCTTTATCCACTAAGCCAAACTGATTAGGGTAAAAAACTTTATTTTTAGAGCAATTTTAGAGTACAGAAAATTTGGGAAGGTAGTAGAGAGAGAGTTCCCATATCCTCACACTTATCTCCTCTATTAAGAATACCTATATCAGTGTGATACATTTGTTACAATTAACTAATATTGACTCATGATTAGTTAAAGTCCTTTATTCCGATTTCTTTAGTGCTTACTTAATGACTTTTTTTCTGTTTCAGGATGATATGGAGGATAACATGCTACATGTAGTCATCATGTCACTTTAGGCTCCACTTCGCTGACGGTTTCTCAGACTTTCCTCATTTTTTATGACCTGATCGTTGTGAGTAGTACTGCTCAGGTATTTTGAAAAATGTCCTTCAACTGGCACTTATTTTATCTCATGGCTGGACTAGGATTATGGGATTGGGGAGGAAAGCCACAGAGGCACAGTGCCATTTTCATCACATTGCATGTATATATTGTCAATATGATTTGCCCGTTGTTGACCTTGATCACCTGCCTGAGGGAATCAGGCATGTCAGGTTTCTCCCCTGCAAAGTTGCTCTGCCCCCCACTCAACTCCCTTTCATGGGAGATTTATCTTTTCTCCCCATTTAAAAAAATATATTTTATTTATTTTTTTTTACAGAGAAGAAGGGAAAGAAATAGAGAGCTAGAAACGTCAATGAGAGAGAAACATCGACCAGTTGCCTCTTGCACACCCCTTACCGGGGATGCGCCCGCAACCAACATACATGCCCTTGACCGGAATCAAACCTGGGACCCTTCAGTCCGCAGACCAATGCTCTACCACTGAGCCTAACCGGTTTTGGCTTTTCTCCCCATTTTTTTCATTGATTATACTTTAGGTTATAATCCAATATTCCTTTATTTTGTTGATCAAATTTTTCCAGGTTTGGCCATTGAGAGCTCTTCCAGTTGGTCCCTATGTCCTTTGACATAACCCAACGTGTGTGTGTGTGTGTGTGCAAGAGAGAGAGAGAGAGAGAGAGAATTGGTTTATTTAAGCACTTCCTTACTTTCTGGCACTATATGATGCTCCAGGCTCATCTTGTATATTTCCTGCCCAGTCCCACAATCAGCCATTTCTCCCCAATTCCTTTTTATTGGAGAATGGTTTTAGAAACCAAGATCTGGGCACTGGGTGTGCTTATTGTTATGCAGTATCATTGCTTCTAGGACCTTTGGGCTGTCAGAGAAAGGAAATCATGCATGTATACTAACCCGGAGTATATATATATATCTACACATATTTTTATATGGAATCTTCTGCATTTATACAAGCCAAGCACGAGTTCATACTGATATCTCCAATCCATTACCACATGGACCATTCCAGCCTCCTCCTCAGGGGTCATTTTTATCACAGCAATGTTGCCTAGTAACATAGTGGACACATGTTTATGTTTCCAAGGAGACAGTGCTAGACAGTTAACGAAAGGTATAATTCTCACGCAAAAGAGGAAAAGTTTTAACCCTTTACTCTCACTGATCAGTGGCTACTCACTGCTCTGAGGATAAAGAACTAACACTTTGGCCCACCAGGTTCTGCAGTGACCTGGCCTGCTGACAGTCTACCCTTTTCTCCTCCCACTTCCCTTCTGAGCTCCCATGGCAACCACACTCATCTCCTTCAAGTCTCAGACTCAGCATACCCCCTTCTCTCCTAGGGCCCTTGCCCAGGCCAGTCTCTCTGCTGGGTCTCTCTTCCTTGCCCTCTTTGCCTGGCTGCCTCCCATCTATCTGGGGCCTTCCTTCACCTGAGGCCTTCCTTCATTCCCTGCTACCCCCTGGTGGTCAGCACATGTCATAGTGAGTGATTAAACCCCCTGTCTCCCGGTTGAACTCCTGAGGGTATTCTTTGCATATTTGCTGGGGAAACAAAGCTTTTAAAACAAATGTGCGTAAAACAATGACTGACCTGTTACATACACTGTAGGATTTTAGGTAAAATAAGCAGGGAAGGGAAGATCAGTGTGGGTTGAGATGCCAGGAGTTGAGATAATAGGAAAGGTATAATTTAAACTGGGGTTTGAAAAAATAGGACAAAGGAAAGGGGGTGGGGGAGGGATGATGGTAAATAAAACAGAGAAGAGTGAGTGAGGAAATGGGTGAGCAGCTTTGCATATATCTGACTTTTCATTACTAGTTCAAATAGACCAACCAAGGAGGGTTTACTGGACAACCCATACATAACTGATTTTATAAGCTACTTTTAAAAATATGTTTTCATTGATTTTTTGGAGAGAGGGAGAGGGAGAGATAGAAGCATCAGCAAGAGAGAAACATTGATCAGCTGCCTCTTGCATGGGCCCCCACCGGGGATCAAGCCTGCAACCCTGGCAGGTGCCCTGACCAGGAATCAAAACCATGACCTCGTGGTGCATGGGAGGATGCTAAATACATTGAGCCACACTAGCTGTGCTAAACTACTTTTTATAAATTTTTTTTTTATTGATTTCAGAGAGAAAGGGAGAGGGAAGAAGAGTTAGAAACATCAATGATGAGAGAGAATCATTGATCGGCTGCCTTCTGCACACCCCCAACTGAGGATTGAGCTGGCAACCTGGGTATGTGCCCTTGACCGAAATTGAACCTAGCCAATGCTCTATCCACTGAGCCAAACCAGCTAGGGCTAAACTACTTAAAAATGTCTTATTTTTAAGCTCAAATGATTACTAGTAATTCATTCTGCACTAGTTTTTCTTAGGAGAAAATAATATCAATAGCAAACATGTCAACTGCATATCAAGAGGGATACCCCAGGCAGCCTGAAAGTACTCTGTTTTCCTCCTTATCCAGAACTCCCCAAACCCCCAAAGCTCTAAGTTCTTTCCCCCAAGTGATTTTGTGGCAAAACCTTTCCTGAACTGATCAGAGGCTACTCATAGTCTTCATCCAGCCCGCTTAATGTGAATACCCATTCATGTGGGGGTGCTATTCCAGAATGCAGTGGAGCATTCTATAAACTGCAGTATACGTATCATGTCATCTTTCTAAACTGGTAAAGCTCTAAATTCTGACAAGGGTCTCTAAAAAGAGACTGTGGACCTATAATTCTTATTTTTACCCTAGATTTATGCTGTCTTTGAAAAAAAAAAGTGTTTTCTATGTAACACAACAGCTCATGGGTGATTCTGATTTAAAAGGAGAAAGAATAGACTGCTCAGTAAATATTTGCCTATTTTCTCCATTCTCTATTCAATAAATATTTATTAATGGCCTCCAAAGTATGGGTTTTGTTTTTCAACTCTAGGGATACAGCAGGGAGGGAAGCAGGTAAGGCCTCCTCTTGCAATTATTTTTGGTAGGAGTGACAATTAATGAAGATAAGATAGTATCAGGAGTCTATCAATCTATGGAGAAAAAAAAATCAAGGAGTAAAGGGTTTTGGGGCATACTATTTTTGAAAGGATTGTCTAGGGTCCAGCCAGTGTGGTTCAGTTGGTTGAGCAAAGTCCTGATGCACCAAGAAGTTACTGGTTTGATTTCCCGTCAGGGTACATACCCAGGTTGTGGGCTTAATCCCCATAGGGGGTGTGCAGAAGGTGGCAGATCAATGATTCTCTCTCATTGATGATTCTCTCTCCCTTCTTCTCTCTCTAAACTAAATAAAAACATATTTTAAAAACAAAATGAAACAAAGGCTGGTCTGGGAAGAAGTCCCTGAGAAGGTGACACTTGAGCAAGGACATGAAGGAGATAAGAGAGGGAGCTCTGGGGATCTCAGGAAGAAGTGTCCCGGGCAGAAGGGGCAGCGAAGGCCATGGCTCTGAGGTAGGGCTGTGCGTAAATAGGGCGGGAAATGTAAGTGCTTTATAGGGAGTATCTCATCTAATCCCCAAAACCCTTATGAAGTCCACTCAAAGATGAGGAAACTGAGCTCCGAGAGGGGAGCCTTCTGCACAAGGCCACACAGTTGTGACAGCAGAGCTGGGATTTGCCCTGGCTTCCCCTCCAAGTCCCTAACGACAAGCCAGCCCTTTGGAAAGCAGGAAGAGACCGAATCCTTCCCAATCCTGGAGGCCCTGCCTCAGTCTCCCTCCTCAAAGGCCCAGACATCCGGCTTCCAGGGTGATGGGTTTTCCTGGCTGTTGAGGACTGCACAGGCATCTGGAGCAGGGAGGTCAGGCTCTCCAATAAGCTGGCATGAGGAGCCAGAACAGGGCTCCTCCCCTACTTACCTTTCCAGATGGCAGAGCCCCTGGAGCCTGAGGGGATCCCATCAGAATCCCATCAGCAGGGGCGAACACGGAGGCTCACAGAGCAAGAGCACTTACCTGAGGCCACCGAGCCTTCCCAGGAGCCCATGACCTTCAGACCAAACTTCTCTTTGGACTTGGCCCGGGCCCCCAAACCAGGAGTATCTCTTTACCTCTTGTGCTCTGGGCACCTCACTGGATTCACCTTAATCGAGACCCTGTAAAGGGAAAAAACAGTGAAAGTCACCCCTGCTCACCACCTGTTCACTCACACCCACTGCACCAGGCTTCCGGGGACCAAGAGAGCACCTCTCTGGGGCTGTGCACCCCACTGTCCCACGGAGAGAGAAGAGCGGGGGAAAGGCGGGTGGTGGTGGGGAGGTGTGGGTGTCTCCATGGCTTCCTGCCAGCCTTCAGGTGGCGCCCTTGCGCCGCGGAGCCGCACGAATCGGTGAAGCCCGTGGGGACCTGAGGACCAGGTCCTACCTGCGGGCCGTGTGCTGGGCGAGAGCGCGGAGGGCTGGGGCCGGGAGGCCGGTCGGAGACAGGCATAGTCGGGGCTCCCCTGCGGGGGAGACTGGCAAGCGGCGGGGGAGGGGTCCTCTCCAGCAGCCAGGCCCCGCCCCTGCGCCGGGCCCCTCGCCCTGGAGCCTCAGTGCCCCCGATCCGCAGACAAGCCCTAAGAGAGGGGAGAAGGATGGCGCTATGTCCCCCTCTCCGCACCCCCATCTGTCTCCGGCCTCCCCATCGTTCCCCACGCTAACTCCCCGGGCGCCTTCGCCGGCCGCGGGCGGAGCTCGATCCGCTGCGCTCGGCGATCCCCGGCTCCTTCCCCTCCCCGCGTCCCTCCTCCCCGGAGCCCCCCGCGGCCGCCGCCGCCGCCGCCGAGCAGCCCAGCGGCGCGAGCAGGTACGTGCGCCCCGGCGGCCGCGGCTCCGCGCGGGCCCGGAGGGGCGGGAGCGGGAGGCTCCGGCGGGGGCGGCCGGGCCCGCGCCTCCCGGGCTGCGGCGCAGCGGAGCCTCCCGCGGGCGGGAGGGCGGGCGCCGGCTGCGGGAGGCGGGTGGGCGCGGGGAGGACGCGCCCTCGCCTGGGTCCGCGGCCCGGGACGCAGAGCCGCCCGGCGGGGAGGCGGGGAGGACGCCGCACAGGTACGCGCGCGGGGAGGGCTGCGGGGGCGGCGGGAGGCGGGAGGAGGCCCGGGGCGGGGCGGGCGGCGGCGGAGAGCCGGCCTGACCTCGCGGCCCGGCCGAAGGACACGCGGTTAGGGGACCCGGGAGCCTTGGGCGGCCAGGCAGTCCTGCTGCGGACGCCGCTCGGCCCGGTGCGGTGGGTCCCGGCCAGGCCGCGGTCGGGGTCAAGGGCAGGAGCAGGGGTGTGAGCGGCGGGCCGGGCGGCGGACGGCCCGGTGCTGGCGCTGCCTGCGCGGAACTTTGGGTGCAGCAGCGGCGTGGACCCGCGTGTGCGTCTGTGCGCGCCCCGAGTCTTTGTGTACAACTCGTGCGTGTGTCTGCCGGCTGGGTTTTGTGAAGCTTCATCCACGCCGGCTCCACGGCTGTCTTTCCGCGTGTTGGTGCGCGCGCGGGCAGGTGGTGGTGCAGGGCCCCGGCGGGTCTGGCATAGACCTTAGCATCCTGCGGGTAGTTAACCGTGTGTGTGTGTGTGTGTGTGTGTGTGTGTGTGTGTGTGTCCAGCCTTGTCCCTTTGGGGTGTGATTACCTGTGTGACCCGTGAAACTGTGGATCACACAGTGTGGCTTCCATGTCTGTGGGTGCTGCGGGTGGAAACGGCCCCTGGGGGTGTGACTGTAGAACCGGGGTGTGCCCTTCCGGTCTTGCGGGACTGCAGGTGAAACCCGAGTGTCTCTGGTACAGCTGCCCGAGTGAGCAGTGGCCTCCGGCATCTTAGTCCATTTGTCTGTTCCTCCTTAGGATTTGGGTTATTGACTGGGCACGTGGGCACCTCTGAACCTGTGATGTGTGTGAGAGAGAGTCCCCCTTTTTCTCTGCCCTCTTCCTAACTCTGGCATCCCGAGGAAAAAGTTTTGGGTTCCTGCTGGTGAAAGCCCTGCTGCCAGAATTTGGGTGCCCTGGATTTCCCCTGGGATGTGGAAGCATCTGTGTGCCAAGCTGGGAGGGCGGTTCCTGGCCACTGCAGGAGCTGAGCTCTCTGCTGGAGAGTGCTGGAAACGGGGTGGAATGGGGGTAGGGTGGGGAGTGGGGGGCACATCTGGACATCCACTGGGCAGCAGCTGTCATCAGCAGTCCCTGTGTGTGCTGGGCACTCAGGAAAGTGCTTTTGCTGCCAAGAGTAGAAAAGCCAAACAATCTCTCTCTCCTCTGGGTTTACTGGGAGTGGGAGCCGTCGGGCGGGCCTGGCCTGGAGTTGGCCGCTCCTATCTTTGTGTGGGAGAGATGGTCTCCCTGGACAGCTTGCCAAGCCTCTCCTGGGGGCTGCCCGTGGTCTAAGCCCTGGGCAGGGGGCGGGGGATCCAGACGGAATTCACACACATCCCTCCCTGCCCTCCAGCTGCTCATAGTGGCTGACAAATAGTGGGAGGAAGTCGAGTCTGGAGTGAGGCGGGTGGAATGATGCCGCTGCCGCAGGAGTGGGTGGGTTCGCAGTGATAACAAGGACCTGTGCTTGCCTTCGGATGCCCACGTGCACGCCGTGGGATCCTGGCCACATTCTGTCACGTGGAGACAGTAGTTCCTGCTCTCGGGGCCCCCGAGGGAGGTGCCCACGATAGGGCCCAGCAGCGGTGTGGGTGCTCAGGAAACACTTACTGAAGTGGAACCCGGGAAGAAGAATGCGGTGACAGAACTGGGCTGTAAGTGGAAACAGGTTTTGTGCTCAGATGGAAGGCTCTGTGTGAGCTAAGAGGTGCCCGATGCAAGTCCATGTTGGGAAAAAGATCAGAAAGATAGAAGGACGTGTCTTCCCGCACTGAGGCTCTTTGAGTTTCATTTATTCACTCATTGATTTCATTCAGTTTTCACTTCATTAACTTACTCATACCTCCCCCTCCCGTCCATCTCTCTCTCTCCCCCCCCGTCCCATCTATCTCACACACACACACACACACACATACACACACACACACACACGGAACAAGATGAACTGGAAAATAAATTCAGAAACATCTAGTGTATGATGTATGGGAGTATGGGTGTATGTAGATACACCAGAGTGTGTGGGAGCCACTCTGCAATTGTGTGTGTGTGTGTGTGTGTGTGTGTGTCTGTACAGCCCGGGGCCCTGGGTGTCTGTGCTCCCCGGACATCGGTGTGTGGGGAGCAGAGTAGTTCTGAGTGGGCCCGGGAATTTTACATGCCAGGTGGGGAAGGGTGTTCCATGGGGCCTGGGGGGGGTGGGGAGCAGCACTGAATCTGCTGACGGGAGGCCTCCATCATCTCCAGCTGAGGTGTGAGGAAATGGGTGCCTAGGGCGTCGAGACTCTTCTCTTTATAAGAGAAGCCAGGAATCCAAAACTTAAAATGTAAACTATTTTGCTTTTTATATATTGGCAAATACTTCACCAAAAACAAATGAACAGAGCAGAAACAAACAAACGAAAACCCCAGAAACTTCTGTGAGCCACAGTTGGCCCATGAGCTATAAATTGGTGTCTTTGGGCAGGAGGCACACGTGCTGTCTGCCTGTCTGTGCGGGAGTGTGTTCTGGTTTGGGGTGGGATACTTCCTCTTTGAGCAGAGTGCTCCCTTTCCCCCTCTCCCTCTATCTCCCCATCTGCAGTCCTCAGCCGGCCCCCTCCAACCCCCGGCTTCTACTTACCTCAAGGCTTTTGGCTTTGACTTCAGCTGTGGCTCTCAAGTACGCTCCTTCCTCCCAATCCCTATCCATGCCTCCCCTGACCACATCAGAGTCCTCCCTGGACCCCTGGCCTCCACCCAGCAGCCAGAAAGAGCTTTCCAAAACCTAGGCAGATGTCAGCACTCCCCGTCCTCACACCTCCCCTCCCTGACTCCTTGGCCTGGCCTGTAGAGTCCTTTGAGAGTGGATTCCCAGCTGACCTGTGAGGTGCCCCGTCCCCCTACCCCCAACTTGTCCTCTCAGATCTGGCTCAAAACCAACAGCTTCCAGAATCCTCCCTGACTTGCTCCACACCACCGCCGTCACTTCTATCCCTCCTCTGCTCCTAGCCATCCTCACTTCATCACCTTAGTGCCTATTAATTGAACTGGCTGGGGCCTTATATGCATTATTTTATGAAATCCACAAGTTGACCCTGTGAGGGAGGTACTTTGCTTATTCCCACTTAACAGATAAGAAAACTGAGCATGGAGAGGCCCCATGGCTTGCCCAGGCCCAGGTCGTGAAGCTGGGATTTAAACCTGATAGCCACTGTGCCTATATTCCCTCCATCATAAGATAGCCCGTCACTGATCCTTACTAAGCATGAGAGCTTTATATGGATTATCTCAACCCCTACATCAGCCCCATTAAGTAAGGGAGGGGTAGTAGTACTGCCACTTAATAGATGGGGAAACCGAGGCCCAGAAAGGATACATGAATTGCCCAGAGCCACTTGCCAGTCAGTGGCGGGGCAGGATAGGACCGCACTGCTGTCTCTGTCTCATTCCCACCTCCCCTCTCTCTGACAGGCTCCCCTGTGGGAACTGTGCCTGGCTCAGCTGCACATTGCTTGGGGTCCAGGGTGCTGTCCAACACCAGCAGGATCTTGGTGGAGGTTTGCTAAATCCTACTGACTTCCTGTTTTCTCTTCCAGCTGCCAAGGGGCCAAGGGATGAGCTGGGGCCCTCCTTCCCAATGGCATCGCCCCCTGGTCTGGAACTGAAGACACTGAGCAGTGGTCCCCAGACCCCAAGGAGACCAGCTCCTCCAGGCCTCGTGGCCCCATCCAGGTGGGGTGTGGAGAACGCCTGCTTCTCCTCGGAGGAGCAGGAGACCCATTTCCAGAACGCTGGGGACATCAGGCTCGGCAGCTCCCCCAGCCCTCCGGGCGGCGTACCCTCCAGGCCCCGGTCCCAGCGGGATGACCTGTCCCTGCATTCGGAAGAAGGGCCCGGCCTGGAGCCCGTCAGCCGCCCCGTGGATTATGGCTTTGCTTCTGCTCTGGTTTTCCTGGTGAGTGGGATCCTCCTGGTGGTGACGGCGTACGCCATTCCCCGCGAGGCCCACGTCAACCCGGACTCGGTGACGGCGCGGGAGATGGAGCGGCTGGAGATGTACTACGCCCGCCTGGGCTCCCACCTGGACAAGTGCATCATCGCGGGCCTGGGGCTGCTCACGGTGGGCGGCATGCTCTTGTCCGTGCTGCTGATGATCTCCCTGTGCAAGGGCGAGCTCTACCGCCGGCCGACCTTCGTCCCCTACCGGGGCTCCAGGAAGACCTATGGCTCCATTAACCTGCGCATGCGACAGCTCAGCGGGGACGGGGGCCAGGGCCTGGTGGAGAACGAAGTGGTCCAGGTCTCAGAGGCCAGCCTCACCCTCCAGGGGTCTTAATCAGGAGCTCTCCTGATTTGGAACCTGAGGCTACAAGCCCCCCCCCCCCCCCCCAGGCCTGGGGTTTAAGGCTGAGCTCCACCCAGGGGCCCGGGGCAGGAGTCTTGGGGCCTGGAAGGGGAGGCCAGGGCCTGGCTCAGGCTCCCCATGCGGAGGGTGGCCCCCTGCTCTGTTTTGTCGCTTGAGGTTTTGTATACGTTTTTGCTCGGAGATGGCTTCTGCGGCTAAAAATACAGAAGTTCAGAAACGGCTGCCCTTGGAGGATGAGGTTTCTTGGCATTTCTGACAACGGAGAGCAGTTTGAAAGGCTGCCCATCCTGTTCCTCATGCCCTGGGAAATTCCAGAATCTCTGTATACAGTCCTCAGCAGCGAAGTGTGGGTGCTGGGCGACTTTGGAGGGACCCCTCTCAGCCCTGACCATCTAAGGTGGGAGGTGGCTTCACAACGAGGGGAAAAGTCAGCACTGGGGTGACCCTCCCCGCTGCAGGCCTCTGCCCCCTGTCAAGTGAGGGTTGGATTGGACGATCCCTTGGGCCCCTCCAGTCCTGCCCTAGGATGAGCGCCCAGTATCTGCCTCTGGCCACGCCTTCAGGGAGAAAGCTGTTCGGCAGGCCCTGACCATTCTCTGTGCCGTTTTTCTGAGCCACTGCAGGAGCTCTCACAGTCCTGCTCAAGTTCCCTAAGCCTCCGAGTGATGCCAGGTTAAACCCAAAATCTGCTGCAGCCTGGTGTTGGTCTTGCAATTGAATTTCCTGCAGTGACCAGATCTTAGCACATGTTTCACAAAGTCAAGTGCACAGTTTTCACCAACTCCCTGAAGAAGAGGTGCCTCATGCAAGAAAGGGTGAAGGCTTTGCTGGGTTTCTGTGGACACGAGGTGGGCCTGCATTGCCTCCCCCTCCTCCCTAGTATTTCTCTTGGGCCTGACTTTATTCTGATAGAAGAAAACTTTTATTTATTTATTTATTTATTTATTTATTTATTTATTTATTTATTTATTTTAGTGCTGAATTATAATCTCCCCCTCTCCCCCAACCCTTCTCAGCAGTAAAGTGCAGTCCCAAAATATCTGGGGAGAAGTCAGGCACATTCGGGTGGCCTGGAAACTCCAGCCACGCTGGTCACCGTTTGTTCGTTTCTCCTGTGGAGTGTTTCCAGGCTCTGTCCAGAATCTTTTTAAACTTCTGACAAGGAAAGGAAGTGAGTTCCAGGGGGCAGGGAGATAGAGGTGTTTGAGCACGAGGGGAGACATTGTCTGGTCCGAATGGCCCTGGAAGGCTTTGAGAGGACATGCCTTCTAGGCCACGGGTGGGAAGACCCTAACGGGGCCATTTCAGTGAGTCCCCTGACTCCGTGCAGGTCCTGCGTAACTCCATCTCCACTGGCCGTGGGGGCCTTGGATCCTGACGGTCTCCTGGGGGTGGGCATGTGGGGTGGGCAGAGGGTCTGTAGGCTGGAGCAGCCCTGATTGGAGCTGTAACGTGAGCCTTCAGTCTGGTGAGTGGAACATCTGGGCAGCGAATGTCACAGCTTCTGTGGAGGATCAAGTGTCTGTCCCTGCCAGCAGGTTTGGCCAGAAGCAGAGGGCTCGGGGAGGGCTGAAGCGCACAGGGCTGTTCAGCGTGGCCTGCCAGGTGCTGTTCCTGGTGACGAAGGGATGCGGTTTGAAAAGAACAAAGCTTCAAGATGGAGAAAGATTCACGGGTCAGGGCTTCCGCCACTGTGTCCGTCTCCCCCGGGCTCCCGGCGAGGAGTGGATGCACAAAGTGGCACGAGCCATTCCAGGGGACCGACAGGAGAACTGAGCATCCCACATGATGAGCTCAGGCCCTTCAAATTCATGATGATGATAAAAACACAAAGCCTAGCCATATGGATTACTGGGATGGTAGGGGACTTATTTGGAGGCTAAACCTGTTGCGTAGATGCACCTGGGATCATCAGTTCCTGTAGCTCAAGTGCAATGAATTGTATTTAGGAGCTAACTCAGAAGATAAAGTCCCAGGAATCTCAGGTTTTCTCTAAGCCAGAGGAGCCTGCTTTGCATCCTAATGCAGAAATTCCTTTAGAAAATGTGTGTAATGGATAGAGGCAGTCATTACCTTGTCAGTGAATTAAGAAAACCTGTGAGATGCCAAAAACATTTCTCCACGATTGCAGCTGTGGATGAGAAATGAGGTTAGGGAGGAGTCGGCAAGTAAGAAGCATCGGGTGCTGAGGACTGACTGCAGGTGTTTTGGGGGTAGGTGTGGAGTGGGCCCACAGGACCCTGTGGTCACTGGAGCGGCCTCATCTCCAGGAACTGCCTCTCCCACCAGACATGCTACGGAGGGGCGCACGTCTTGCTTTTCCTGGTGTGTTAGAACAGATAGCGATGTGGGAGTTGGGAAGACTGGAGTTGAACCCAGGCTCTGCTCTTCACTGGATTAGGCCTAAGACCTCAGGGTCAACTGTTTGTTTTTCCCCTCTCACACCTCCTCCTACCCACCTGCAGATCTTGGATCTATCTTCAGACTCTGTCTGCTGCCCACCCTCTGCTCCGGATTCAGCCTCCACTCTGTAGCCAGATGAATCCTGTTAAAAGGTTAATTGGAGCGGGTCACTCCTCCGCTCAGAACTCTGCGATGGCTCCCTCTCACGCCGGGCAGCAGCAGAAGTTGTTGCCCTGGCCAGAGGAGGGTTTACCAGGAAGGGCCCTCACGTGCACAGGCTCCAAGGTCCGGAGTTAAGTTTTTGTTTGTAATTTTGATTTTTAAAAGGATGACCTCCTAAATTGCCCAAGTTTTAGGTCCCCCACCCCGGGGTCTGGCCTTATAATCCTATATAATAAAAGTCTAATATGCAAATTGTCCCCTTGGGTGGTTGTTCGATCAGGAGTTCGATTGGGAGACCGACCGGGAGTTCGACTGCTCGCTATGATGTGTGCTGATCACCTGGGGGGGCAGCATGGAACATGGCAGGTGTAGGCAATGCACTATGACCTCCCACCGGCTACTTGGGGGTGGGGGTGATGGGAATGAAGGTGCAGTGAGAATGCAGGGTGTCTGCTGAGCTCACTCTCACTCCCCCTGCTACCCTCCCCAGGACACCCGGGCTTGCACCCGGGAAGTCTCCCTACCCCCGCCCCCACCCCCGAGGCCTCCTCCGGGTGAGTTGGGCCACAGCCACTGGGTCCTGCGGCAGCCGCCTGCACTGTAGGGGCTGGTCCCTGTGGGTTCACACAGGAGGTGGTCCGCGAGGCCGGTAGGGAGAGAGCACGCTGTCTGCCCAGCTTCTGTGTGGTGTTATTGGGTGGCCTAGAGGCCACGCTCAGCACTGCATGGCGTGGGGACTCGGGCACTGTGACTCAGGCGGAGGGGGTGCGTACAGGGGCCCGAGGTCCCAGGTGCTGCCCGGGGCCTAGAGGTCACCTGGGAACTGCCCTTCCATGCCAGATGCTCGTGCTTCAGTCGCCAGCCAGGCCAGTATCACTCCCTTCCTTGGGAATAAGCATCACCTTCTTAGTGATTTTATTATTTATTTATTTATTTATATGTTTCTTTTTTTAAAAAATCTTTATTGTTGAAAGTATTACGTATGTCCTCCTTTCCACCCCATTGACCCACTCCAGCCGGTCATGCCCCCCACCCCAGGCCTTCACCACCTTATAGTCTGTGTCCATGGCTTGTGCATATATGCATACAAGGTCTTTGGTTGATCATTTCCTACCCATCCATCCCTACCTCTTTTCCCCTCCCCGGGCCTTCTCTCCAAGATTCCACACTCTGTTCCATGCTTCCAGATATCTGGATCCGCTCCATCCATCAGCTTATTTTGTTAATAAAATTATGGGGATTTTCTTGAAATGTCCTCTTCCTTCCATGTATGCACCTACACCTACACATACATGCAGACCTGCAGGAGTACATGCCTGTGCATGCACATGCACTCACATTGTGCATGAACACACACACACTCACACACACACAGCTCTCCATGGTCTGACCTAGCTCAGAAGCCAAGGACATGTGCTCTGCAGCAGCTCCCAGCCAGGGCATCCTCTGGACTATTGATGACGTTTTCTCTTTCTCAGAAGCCACAGGCCTTGCAGCTTTCAGGATGCTAACTCACAGCCAACAGTCTCCCCTCTCCATACTAAGCTGCTCTCTCTATCCTTCCTGCTCCCTGATGGGTGGAAGCAGAGAGATGTCCAGGGAGCATTTTCTTCCTGGAATTCAGTGTGGTTCTCGGCTGGGAACCAGGTGAGCAGGGTCCTGCAGGCCACCCCTTCCCTGTAGGCCTTTGTGCAAACCATTCCACCTCCCTGGTCCTCCGAATAAAATTGGGAACCTCCCCACCTGCCTTCTCTGGGGATTGAGGGGAATGGGGAACCAAGCAGAGGCTCTTTAAAGCTACGGCCATGTTACCCTGTGTCTGGAGAGCTTCGGAGGGGTATGAGGAGGGGAGGAAGGGAGGCATCACTGAGACACACAGGCGGTGGGTTTCTGTCTATAGGTTCTGTTTGGGAGGGAAGTGGGGTGTCGGTGGTACTGATGAAGTCAAGGAGACACCTCTAACTGCGTCTGCTGGTTTCCCTGGGAGAGAATGGGCTTCACTTGTCCATGAGGAGGTAAACTTCAGCTACGGGAAGGAGAAGCTTGCTGAGACCTGCCTGGGCTGGAGTGGTAGGTATGTTAGCATTTACTGTCAAGTGTTGGGTATCTTCAGGGAGAGAGTAGTGGAGCCAGGCAGGATTTAGTCAAGAGGCTCCCCAAGCTCCCAACTCCCCTCCTTTGAGAAAACCCAATGCCCCAGTGACCAGAGCCTGATGAGAGAGGGTAGCACCCCGGGCATGCTGCATCTTCTTGTCTTTGGTCAGAACACCCTCTTCCTCACATCATTCTTCTTCCTGGGCCGGGTTGTTAATGAGCAGATGGGAGGGCCCAGGGTAGCTGAATGGTGCAGAGGTTGGCAAGACCATCGCCTCCCTCCTCCTAGGAGGCTAGGCATTTCTGAGCGTTCTGAGTGACTGGGGGCAGGGCCTGTTATGGAGGTGG